GACACCCATAATCTGGAAAATTGGATAATATCTTTCTAGTAAGTCACTTATCAGAAAACTGTAAGAGTATAGTGATTTAGGAGAAGAAAAATATATCTAGTTGGGAGTTTTCCTTTTTTAACCTTCTTGAAATTGTTTTTTTATTTCTTAAATGATTTGGTATCCGGACTGTGTAATAACAGTTTATTGAAGTTCCCATCCACTGTACTATTGTCTGGAGTAGTGTGAATTGTAAAGGTGTCACACTATGCTTAAGGAAGAGGTTTGATTGTGATGATGTGGTTCAGAGCATCTGCATAAGGATTAGGGAGGGGAGTGGAAAACAAAGGAGATGTTATAGTGAGTGTACCAGCCAGCCAGGATATAAGCACTGGTGAGTAATTCTGTAAGCAATTAGGAGAAATTTCATGATCAAAAGCCCTTGTCCTAATGGGAAATGTCAACTTCACAGACACAATAGCAACTTCACAGACATAATATCATCAAAATGGGAATATCATACTGCTGTCATGAGCAGGTCTTGCAAATTCTTGAAGTTTGTAGGAGTTCATTTCTTATCACAAGTACTCAGTGAGAAGAGGAAAGACTCCTTCCTAGACTAGATGTGAAAAGCATAGTGGAGTGAATCAGTCTTCACTGTGACATTGTATAGTTCTGTTTTCTTTGTAATCATGTTTTCTGCTTATGAAGAAGAAGGAAGTCCTAATGTAGGCAATGCTTAGTAAAATTAATCTAGATTAATTTATCCTCCTCTTTGTCATTTAATTCTGGTTCAGACTACTGCTCTGTTTTTTGCTCTGACAGATTTGTTGGGCTGTTATAATTGTACTTAAAATTTTCTGAGGTTAAGAAGAAAATAGGAGTAGTTAGTAATATTAAACTTTAAAAGTATGAAATAAAGAAATAAGACAATTACTGAGAACTGTGCTAGAAAATATTTGTATTTTTAATAAATATATAATTATCTTAAATATTTATGAAAGAGAGGAACATGAGATGATTAGATTGGGGTTCTCAGGCTGCTTTGTGAAATTGGAAGCAACAGAAACATGTCTAACATCTGGTAAAAGAAACCAAAGCTATCATGAGGAATCTCAGCACTAATGGCAATCCGAAGGAGCACATTGCAGGAAGAGTGAAGAGACTGCTTCAGAGTAATATATGAGCAGCAGATTATCTTCTGGGTATTTAGAAATGAAATAATTTGGTGTTCTTTTCTCCATGAAACTGATGCAGCTTTGAGGGAAAACTAAGCTCAGTGTTGTTCCAAGTTAGCTTCTGTGTCGGTTTTGTAAGTAGGTGCTGAGCATTTTTCTTAACAAAGACAGGCTTTGAGCAAGGTGAGACATGAATTTAAAACGTATTATATAGTAAGATTTCTAATAGACCTGGAGGTTTCAGGAACATAGGAGTTCATAATTTAGTTCAGATATTATTCTGATTAGATGAATTGATAAAATGGTGAATTTGTGCGTAGCAGTTCAGCTTTTATTTCTTGAGGCTATCTTATAGGTCAAAAATATTCTCTTGATAGGATATTTTGCATTATAGAGTCTCAATTCAGCTGTACTTAAATTAATGGCTGTATTAGTTACCATATATAAATTTGAGCAGCAGTATTAATAATGGTGTACCAGACACCTCAGAATTCATGCATATGGGTTAAAAAATATCTCTCTGTCTTAAATCTGTAGTATCGCAGGTGATCTCTGTCCTGCCCTGCACTCTTTCTTTGTAAATTATGCTGGCTAGAAACTTCTTTATGAAGATAAAAGACAAAAGACTTTTCCTGAACAACAGAAGTTGAGTTTTAAGAAAATATGAGTACTGCAAAGAATTGTAAATTGCTTGGTTTGTCAGTGTGAGATCAATAGACAAACACTAATAGATCAGGTTATATGACTAATTCTTTCTTTATGAGCTCCCTGCTGATTTGTTTGAAGGTTAATAAAAAGAAATTGTATGCACAGATAATGAGAAATAATTAGAAAAAATCAATTTTAAAATAATCAAATGTAAATAAAACCTTTCCTTTCCAGAGAAGAGCCTAAAGAACAGATGCAGGGGAATAAAGAATACGGTAAATCTGAAATAGGTATGGTATTGAAACGTGTCCAAACAACTTAATAATGGTTCCTCTCTTTACAGTATTAGTTACATGACTAGATAGCTCCCTGCCTCTTTTCTACAGTAGTGATTTGATTTTTGTTACCAGCAGGAGATAATATTCAGTAACCAAATAGGAAAAATGACTGATGTAATGCAATGCTGTGAATATTACTATAAGTATGAACATTTTTTCTCTTGACGTTTGTCAGGTCTGTTGCTTCAGGCATGCTGCAGACTATACCTTGGCTTGTCTTGTACGGTGATATTTGTGGTATGATAAACTCTTTGAGACTTAAAAAAGAAAAAAAAAAAGATCGAGAAAGCTGAGTGTCATATCTGTGAATTGACCTCTCTGGTATGATGAGTAAATACTGCTGTAGGCTTATGTATCATTCCTTTAATCTGTTTGCAGGTGGGTGTTATATTAGTCCAGTTTATTGCTTGCTGTTTTAACAGTGTGTTATTTTAAAGTTCTTATTTACAGTAGCTAATATTTAAGTTTATTAGTATTCAGTATAACAGCAAATCTATCTAATTATGAGCAAGAGGATTTAAAAGGATTAATAGAAACTTGGAGTGGTTTATTTCATTAAACAGTGTCAACTTAGACATGTTTTGCATTAGAATTACCTGCGTTTGTGTTTCATGTACATGCATCATAACTCACCCCTGGAATGGATAGTATTAACACAGCTTTAATCCTTACATTTCTGGATCTGAGTCATGCATCGTTAATTTGTTCTTTTGACCCATTGATAGGCCTCACTCTGGAGAGCTGGTATGGACTGGGAGGTTGAAGTCAGTGGGGTCAAAAGATTGAAATCTGGCTTGGGGAAGCAAGGGACATGCAGTGGAGGTAGAGGAGAGGGAGATTTTGTATAGACAGTTACATGGATTCTGAGGTTGTAGACAACTGGTGAACTGTATTTTTAATACTCCTAATAAAAATCATTGTAAGATGCTTATTAATGTTGCTTTCAGGCAAGGAACTTTATTAAAGGCTGGCTCTGATGCTAAACATTTTCTTTGGCATGCACAGCATAAATAGTAGCTAATATAAAGGTAATTTAATAGACCACCTTAACTTGCAGCTTTATTTTAATTTCTCAGATGAATTGGAATGTCGGAGAATGGGATATTAAATTTTTTGCATGGCAAGAGATTTGTAAAGGCAGCTAGCCAGGAGAAATTACTTAGTTTGTAAAGTGTGAAAGTGTACATAATGAAGAACATGAAAAAAACTATTTTTAAATAAATGATGAAGATAAATAGCCTTCAAAACCACCAAGCTGTATGAGGAAAAAGATGTCATATCTATAGTATAACACTTATGAAATAAAATTTCTTAATACTCTCAGAAGTTCGGTGATTTATGCCTACATTAGAACAGAGTTTTAGCTTTCGGTTGTGCTGGTTAAGGTGTTCAGCTTTCTGTACTGTGGCTCATAGGTGTACTTAACTGTTTTGAACTGCTACTGGAGACCACTTCAAAGAGATTTATTTTCACATCCAGAGGTTACATTCTTACATTTGCATGCTACCATGAAGGCGGTCTCAGATTTGTAAATTCTGTGTGGCAGTCAGATTTCTTAAAGTATCTACTGCTTTTCATTTAACATAATGATATTTACTGCTGTTTATGTCTGTGAAATGGATTTGTTTCAAGGCACACAGTTTTACAATGGGTAATAAATTGTTCTTGTGTATATAGAGTCAGACTTTAGTGAGTATGGAATTATATCAGTTTCTGAGCAGCACTCCTCACTAAGTGAATTAGTTTTGCCTGAAAACTTACGTCATATGACCTAAAGCCTGAAGCAGAAAAGACCCTTCAAAAATTGAGAGAAATTCTGTAGTATTTAATACTGATGGTTCAAATGTATTCTCCTTCCAAACTTGCTTTTGGATGGGGGCACCAGGAATTGTGAAGATAGAAACCACCAATGCCAGAAAGAAATGTTCAGCAAATCTGAGACTGTATTATCAGTAATTACCAAGGGAAATTTGTTTATTTGTCATGGGAATCAAAATCCTTCTGTGGAGTATTGTACAAGTGTTCATCCATGTCTTGGCCAAATTCCTGTTGTTTTTTTTTTTTATGGTTCATATAATTTACCTGTTTCATTCTAGTCTTGTACTTTTCTAAATGTGATTTCTAAGGAATCTTCTGGATCTTTTCTGGTGTCTAAATATGGCACAGTGGGTTCCTGCTTCAGGACTGGGATTGCTCTATATAAACAATAGCACTTTTTTCCCCACTATGTAGCTGAAGTGAAATTCCAGGGCCAGGAATCCCTTCCATAAGTTTGCTTCAATGGATAAAGGGACATGAATTTGATATAATACATTTAAAGATTTTACCATTCTTTCAGAATGCTCCTATTCAGCTGAATTTTTCTTTCTTAGCTTTCTGGTATATGTTTATTTAAAACACTTAATTTACATAAGATAACTAATGGAATATTTAGGCTCCAAAATGTGTAAGGCCTCCCTTCTCCCTAGCTATATTCATACTACCTTAGAAAGATTTATCAGAGAAAAATAGGTGAAAAAAAGACTTAAAAATTTTAGTGAAAGGGAAATAAAAGGTTAAGTATTTTACCAACATTAGTTAGAAATATTCACAGCTGGAATAAGTTTATAGTGTCAGGGAAATTATCTTATATGACATTAACTAACTGTAATAAGTGTTCTCTTCCCAGAGAATTTTAGTTATTATCCCCTTCTATTTCTTGTTTAACAAGACCAGATGTCTTTAAAGCTTTGGGTATTTCTTTTATGTGTCAATATCTATATGAAAAAAAAACATCAACCAAATTCCCCCCCCCCCCCCCCCCCCAAAATATTTGCTATGTATTTGTGTATTGCATACTTGTGTTTTGTAGTAATCAATGTCAATATCTCTTTCTCTGGGGGTTGATCTCCAGGTTTGTGCTTCTAAAAATCCAACATGCTGTACCAAGAAGATGGAAGAAAGATACCAGGCTGCGGCAAAGCAAGATATAGAGCAAGTGCTTCAAACATCAAGCACTACATTAAAATTTTTAATATCTCGTAATGCAGCTGCTTTTCAAGGTAAGGCTTCCTGCTTTTTGTTTCCAAACTTGTTCATACTTTTCTTGATTTTCATGTTTGATTGCTTTATGCATGTAATAGAAGTTATCTGTTAATTTTCAGTTTCTCCCTATGCTTTTATGTTTTCAAAGGAGGAGTATTAAGTTATGCAGGTGATTAGAAACTGCTATTGGAATACATGACTTTAAAAAATGATAGTTGAGAAAAACTAATAAATGTTTTTAGTAAGATGTTTTGATTTGAATTGTAAACCACTAACTTGGCATTCCTCTAGAATGTGCTTTAATTTCAGTGATAATTAAATGCAAAATTATTGCCTGGAGTGCTGCAAAAGAGAGATTTTGTTATTCCCGTATTTCCACCAACCATGTTCATTATCTTGTTCTAATAGAAATACTTTGTAGTTTGGTTTTGAGGTTCATTTTTGGGATCTAGTTTTTTAAGTTTTTGAGTGTCTAAATTTTTTGGGGGGGGGGGGGTCTGAAAGTAATTTTTAAAACATTGGAAGTTGCGTGAGAGTCATTCCAATGCACATTTGGAAGCTATCTGATAAATTAATAGTTATTTGGGCTGGTGGAATTGCCTTTTAGCAATTACCCCGCATACTAATAATTTTTTTTCTGAATTAATAAAGCATAAATTAATGTAGAAATTGGTTAGGAGCTGGGAAGATGTGAGAAATAGTGGCAATGTGAGATTATATTATGTGAGTAATAGAAAGGGATATAGAGTTCACATGTGTTGAGAACAAAGCCCTACAGTTTTCTCATTTGTTTATTAATATGTAATGGCCTTAATGACCACTTGATTGGACAGGATAGGATGGTTAACTTTGTGAAGGCTTAGGAAGATGTCCTTCTGGTGACTCTCTTATTTTTAACCTGTGAAGTTAAAATGATCAGCAGGACAAGGCCAACTGCCTAGGGTCATAAAATGCACAGCAAAATTGACTCTGGGGTCCTAAAACCATCCCATTTTGAATTTAGGCTGTCTAAGGCTAAAAACAAATTGCAGTTGCTCCCTACCTTGGGGGAGTATCCCCCTTTAGCCTGTCTAACACAGCTGTCAATATGTGTCAGGATTATCACTGGTAAAATTTGGAAAGAAATTTTTTCTTCTTCTACCTTCATTCTTCCTTTCAACTTCTGTAGATTTTTTTTTTTTTTTTTTCACCATTATAGTGTAATATGTTGTATTGCTGTGCTGACCTAGGGCTGTAGACTGTAGAGCCCAGGAAGGAGCAGTACTCCTCTTAAGTGAGGGTTGTGCTCTTTGCCTTGGTGTTTTAACACCTCTTCCTTTCCCCCAGTCCTAGAAAAAAACAAACCAAGAATGCACAAAAACCCCCTTAGATATTTAATAACATAGTTTTGCAATCCCAAGATTTCTCAGTCTTCACAAGAATGGGATTTAAGTAACATTTAAGTGAAGTTAAGTGAAGCTAAGATCCAGAAACTACATTTCTGTTGCTTTTAAGTCCTGAGGGGCTCATTCAGCAGGGTGTTTTCAGTGCATGCAGTGTACATCTGCCCTATAGGTAGCTCTCCCTGAAAGGTAGGGATACACATATACCTTTCTGTGCAACAGAATAGCAGGTCTGTGCCATTTCACAATTTTTCCACACAGAGTTCACAACCCTTTAAAAAGTGGCAATGTATGACACAGAACAAGGTAGCTGTCTGGTAGAATAAGAAATTTAGAGGTTATAACGAGGTTGTAGAAGACTGAAAGCAAATGGCAATGGACTTTTCTTAGTGCTGCTATATTTGGCACTTTCTTCTGAAGAATAGTCTGAAGATCAGAAACTTTCAGCAAGAGCTGCTGTATCTCACTTATGGTTTCAAATGATATGTTGCCCTCTAGATCATCTACAATGTGAAGAGCAACATTGAAATTAAAACATTTTCTTCTTTCTCAGCTCCATAATCCTTTATGTTTTAAGTGAGATGTAAATAATCTAAAACCCCAATACCTGTGAATCCCAATTTACATAAAATAAATGAAATTGAATGATTCTATTAAAAGTCAAAAGAGTTGGCAGGTTAAGAAACCTGATTGTCACTCTGTTGTTATGTTGAGGGATGAGTGTCTCAAAAATGTCTCTGGTTCATGCATTATTAAATTCATAATAATGTGTTATTAAATGATTTTACCTGCTGGTTGGTCTAAAGAGCAAATCTGTTACACAGATCTTACTAACTTCAGAAATCATCTATTCAGATGCTATTTTGATTCCTTTATAATACAAAAGCAGGATAAACAGTATGCTAGTATAACTTACAGTTGGACGAAGTATGTCTATACATATGTTATACATAAAACACAGCATTAAGCAGCTGTTCTAAGTGCAGAAATCTAGAGATTTAGATTGATACTTGAAATTTTATTATTAACCCTGAGATTTATTTCTGTATGGCAAGCAAGTCTTTTATCATTCTGAAGGGATTTATCTCCATTGTATCTCACTTGTATCTTTTAGATGCTTACTTGCATACACCCCTGCTGTGTTGAAAGCATTCTTGGGGCCATATATACAGGGATTTAATGGGCTTCTTTAATAGTTTTGACCACATTGGTCTTTTCTGAAGTTGTACTTTTTTAGCATGAACTTGTGCTCACGGATTCTTGTCTCAGTTTAAGTTTATTTTCCATCACTTAATTATTTCCCCTAGTTGCAATAATACCTGAATTACAATTGAGCTGATGTAGGTACACTGTTCAGACTCATATACTCAGTGAATAGTAAGACTTTTTCATAATATCACTTTTTTTACTGCCCAGCTAACTACTGCTACTGTTTTGGTTTATGCCTGTGTAGCACAGTGATCAGTGTAGGTATGCTAACTTAGAATTTGAATAGTTTATGTAGTGCTCATACAAATAAAAAAAAAATAGTGAAATACAAATTTAAAACATTAGTCTCTTGGGAGCAGTGGCTATAGAAAGTTTGCATTTTCACAGAACTGTGGATGCCTGCTTCTTGTTTATTCTGAGAATTTTGGGAAGCTGATAGCTGGCAAAATATAGGAGCTTTAAGAAAGGTAGTATAAAGTTGGTTTTGAATGAATGTTTAGTGTTGTTTCTAAGATAGTGTTTTCTGTAGCCTTTTAGATTTCCAAGATTTCCAAGTACACATGGAAAAGTTTTCACTTAGTATTTTTTATTTTGTCTGTTAAGAAATTAAAAAAAAAAACAACAAACCCAACCCAGTTGCATTCAGTTTTGGGTAGTTTACTTGAAGAAAGACATGGACAATTTGGAAAAAAAATAGAGAAAAACGTGCTCTGAAATCTAAACATGTAACTTAAAAAAACGGGCCACCCTAGATCTTTTAAAAAGAAAAAAGAAGTGACAGCTACATTGAAGAAAGTCATTATCTGTACTCTGTCATGTACTATATAAAAAACAATGCTTTCATAATATCAAATAAACATTAGAATAAATTATTGCAAAATTTAACCAACCAAGTACTGAATTTTCCTGTAAATAACTACACCTATACTTGAAAAATTAGGTGATGTGTAACAGAGAATAAAACCAGGAAATCTGCCAAAAAAAAAAAGCCCTCTACAGTAAAACCTGGGAGGAGAATTTTTTTCCTGTGGAGAAAAAAAATCTGAAGTTATTGCTAGACAGCTAAGGGCTTGTCAAATGTCACTAGAAACCTATGGTTAGACTGAGCCCAGTGTGACCCTTGACTATAATGAAAGCTTGAACACTTAGTTAAATTTCAAATACTTTGATACCTGCACTGAGGTGTCTGAACTTGTGCCCCAGTGTGTATATTATACACACCAAATTAACAGCCTTCAAAAGTTCCCTTCTCTCTGAAACCTTACAGCCACCCTAACATAGCTCAAGGGCATGAATAAGGTCTGGGAACAGAAGCAGGTTATTGAGCAATCAGTTAATATTTGAGTTTCCAGCCTATCAGCTACTTGGAGGTGGTTGCTTTTATCCTGAAGTGAATGAAAGCTGTCTTACTGCTCAGAACAAATTGCTTTCCTCCTATCAGTGAGGTGGAAATGTGCAAGTGATTCTGTAAGTAAATGTGCAAGTAATGTGAAATCATGTGGCAACTTGTTTATGCGCAAAATAATAACCTAATAATAATTTTCTTTCTGCTGTTCTTCTGGAATGAAGCAGAAAGGTATGTCTGTGTCAGGTAATGAAGTAGGTGGCATAGTCATTTTAACAATAGTAGCAAAACAATCTTTTACTGATATTGAACAAGTCACCAGCAGGTGTAGGTAACTGTACTTTGAGCCTTAAAAGAGCAATTGATACAAGTAGTGTCAATTTTTAATAAATTTACAAATCTCTGCTTGCATTAAGGTCTTGAGCTTAGGTCTGTGTGAACTAGAGGAAGGCTGAGACAGAAATCTGCTGATCCTGAAGTTCTGGAAGAGACTGTTTTATATTCACTATTTAAGTGCATTTAAAATGCTTATGCATAGCAGGTCATACTGTGGAAAGCTGCAGATTTACTGTAGATCAGCTGCAGAGCTGTTCAGCACATGCACAGTAGCCATTTCTGTAGGATTCCTTAATAGTATCTAAGAATACAGCAGATTGCTGAGGAGAGTTGGCTGTTTTCTGGTTTATTTATTCTGCAGTGGATAACTCTTAGACTTCCCTGTTGCAGCTGGTCTGTATTACTACTTAATATTCACTGTGGGAGAAGCAAAGTGAAAAATTAGCTCTCTAGTTCAGTGGTTAGGGTACTCACCTGCCACAAAGGAAGGTTGCATGCTACTGCTCCTCTGAGTATTTTTAATTGCTTGTATAATCCATAGTCTACTCTGGCATGGTTTTACCTACCTGAGTTACTTTTGAACAAGTGTTTCTCAAAGCACGTATGAACTCTGGGCTAGGTATACTCCCAGTTGTCTGTATCCCGTCAGTTCTGTTGCCCTTCTCAGTGGATTTTCCATAGTCACCAGGACTTGAGAAAGAAGGAATTATGTGCTGAATGGGAACCAATTAACTAACTCATCTTG